TTTCGTCGTATTTTGTGGTAGGAAATTCATTGAGAAAAGTTTATATAAAGCCATCTTAAATCACTCTTTGTGACGATAATTTTTTAAATATCGTAATTATATGAAAGTAAATTAGAGGTTTTAATATTTATACTTACTTATATTTTTCATTATATTTTTAAACTAATTTTCTATACAAAAGTAAAATGAATTGTTTTGATATTATGCTTATTCGATTTTTTTCCTTTATATTTATTACTCATGTTCTTCGTTTGTTAAATAATTCAGTTGAATCTCTACATTTATTAGAAAATTCAAGAAAGACTATGATTGAAATTTACTACTTGAATAATTTAATTATAATGAGAAAGAATTTCGATTATCCTCTTGTGAATAATGAAAAAAGTAAGTGGTAATTAATAAATATTTTTTAGATTATAATTTAACATTTACAATGCGTTTATTATTTTCATTTTGGCAATTATTATTGAAAGACAACAGCCATTATGGTTGAGTATAAGTTTCAATTCTAATATTTTAAACTAATAATATCTACTACTATTGTGTCTAAAACTTAAACACAGATATAAATGTGTTTCCGGAATGGCACATCATTATAGAAGGCATTGACAACAAATTGCTGGAATGTTGAAACTTGTAAATAATATCTTAAATACGATATGTATTGTATATTGTATTTATATACTGTTTTTTAATGTTCTAGCAATTGCCAAACAATCGTCATACTCATGAGGATTGTTGAATCAAAATGCATTTATCACAATAAAGACATTGAATAAAAGTAAATTCATTTTTATATGATTATTCTTTAGTGCCAATTTTACAAACTGTTTTATGTCGGATAAACTGTCGGAAAGGAATTTTGTATTTTAACAACTAACTGCCTTATTATTAGATACGTAAAAGAGAAGGTTAAGGCTTCCATAACATGTATTCCGGAAGATGAAAGTAGATTAAGAAAGTGACTGATAGACTCAATTAATAAAAACTTTTATTTTGTATATGAATTAAACATATAAACAATTACATTACATATATATGAAAGAAAAATAATTGATATTTTAAAATATAATTTAATTATTTACAGTACATATAAATACAAAATAAAATATCATTTTTTTTCATTTAAGCATACCAATTAACAACTTTACAATTGATGAGAGAATTATCGGCGTATAATATTATACATTAAGAAAATATTTAAAATAAAATATGATTTTTAAATACAGTTTTGAATTTTTATACACAAATATATAGATCAGTTCACAACACATTCAATTAATTTTAAAAATTTACTTTATAATTCCCAATATCTTCCTATTCAACAGGTTGTTGCTATCAGGCTATTTTAAGTGAACAAGTTTCGAGACTTACACAATTGTTCGAAACTCTTAATATCCATTCATTTAAGTTTTTTACATTTTTTAAATAATAATTATGGTCTATTCATCGAATAAAGCCAATATAAGTAAACAGGAAGATACGCTATTCATATGATATTTGCTTCTCCATTTGTCCTAATTTTCTTGTTATTTTATACAAATAAATTAAAGTTAAGGGGAAAAGTGTTTAATAATTAGCATAAAATAAAATTTTTATCTGTACGAGAATTATCTTATTTGTTGTACAATGAAGATAAATAATAATTATCCTCATAAAAGTATTATTTTCACATAACTTGAGAGAAATAGAATTCATAATAATCGTTTAATTTCTTTAATTAGTGGTCAATTGTTAATATTTTAAATACTTTAAATATTTTTTAATTATTTTTTAATAATCTTTTAATTTAAAAAAAATGAGTGACTTCCGGTCAAATTATAAAAAAGTATATTTTATTAAAAATTTAAACTTGAATTTTTCTTTCATTGTGCAATTTTACAGTAATTTAATAACTATATTTAAAAGATATAATATTTTATTGTAAAACTACAAAAAATAAACCATTAATTCATTATGTAAAATTGACAGTAATTTTACAAAGAGAAATTAAATGAACTCACCCAATGATGGATAGAGGAAGCGAAAGCTAAAACTTATTTTGATATTTGTCAATTCTCTTTTAATAGTTTTGAAATTATTTTTTGTGTGTTTGTTCTCAGAAATACGTGCTGCTTACCTTGAGTTTATTTATATTATTATTATTAATTATTAATTAGCGAAATTAGTGTATCTTCTGTATACGCAACCGTATTCAGTTTGTTTAATAAATTACATCGCTTACATGACATTTGGCATATTGTACAGAAATATTTAGGAATATCTCGTATAATTCGAAATAATCAAAATACCATATATATGTATGCATAATTGTAATTTGATTTTGAACATTACGTTAAATATTTTAAATTTTCTAATAAATAAAATACATAAATAAAAACTCAGATAGAAAAATTTCATTTGGCTCGGGTAGAGCCGATTTCGTCTTTTCTTAAGAAAAATGGTGGTGGTATATTTACTTTAATTGATACTACTGTATATTAGCGATTCATTTCTCAGAAGACATCAAACAAATATTATTCAATATATAAATATATAGTTAAACAACTTTGAAAATATGCACCACAATTTTTATTTACATTAATATTCAAAGAGTCTTCTCTTTGAAATAATGAAAGCATGTTTCACTGTGTAAACATAATATACGCTCATTAACAAAAATGTTACGCACCCAGATACAATTGTTCGATTACAAAAAAACTCGGCATATCTCAGCTATATCTCAGACAGGTTTGTAAATTGTTACAGTTGTGGTCCAATTGCACGCTAGATAAAGCCATCAGATTGTCTTAAAATCGTTACATCAGTATCCAAAAAAGCCCCACGCACTCACTGTGTGTCAGAATTTTAAGTGTAATTACTATTTGGAGGTCTTTGAAACGTAGGCATACCTATAACACTCAGTCAAAAGACATTTCGCATAGCTGTCCGAGTTTTATAAAGGCCTCATCATCGGACTAAGGAAGCAGGATGGCAGTTTTGTCAAAGTGTCCGCCATCATGGTAGTTCTGACTTAACTGTAAGAAATGTGTTGGAACAGTGGATATTTCAGAAAATATACACGGCAGACAGGCTCTGTACGCTCCAAACAGATCACCAAAAAAACTGACCGTGCCATTATTGAGAGATAGCTGCAAGCCTCTCTACAAAATCCTGTCTTTTCGTATTCCATTGGTAGACGATTATCGCGGGCAAATTTGCATGCACTGTGACCCAAATTCCCTGTCATTAGAACTCCATCATATTCAGTTTAGTTTGTAGTGATTCCGTAACAAAGAAAAATAGACTGATAGCATATTGTCTTTAACAAGGAATTCTGGTTCTGTTTGGAAACGGATAATCACTATATTAGTGTGTGAAGGACCATGAAAAAAGTAAGTGGTAATTAATAAATATTTTTTAGATTATAATTTAACATTTACAATGCGTTTATTATTTTCATTCTGGCAATTATTATTGAAAGACAACAGCCATTATGGTTGAGTATAAGTTTCAATTCTAATATTTTAAACTAATAATATCTACTACTATTGTGTCTAAAACTTAAACACAGATATAAATGTGTTTCCGGAATGGCACATCATTATAGAAGGCATTGACAACAAATTGCTGGAATGTTGAAACTTGTAAATAATATCTTAAATACGATATGTATTGTATATTGTATTTATATACTGTTTTTTAATGTTCTAGCAATTGCCAAACAATCGTCATACTCATGAGGATTGTTGAATCAAAATGCATTTATCACAATAAAGACATTGAATAAAAGTAAATTCATTTTTATATGATTATTCTTTAGTGCCAATTTTACAAACAGTTTTATGTCGGATAAACTGTCGGAAAGGAATTTTGTATTTTAACAACTAACTGCCTTATTATTAGATACGTAAAAGAGAAGGTTAAGGCTTCCATAACATGTATTCCGGAAGATGAAAGTAGATTAAGAAAGTGACTGATAGACTCAATTAATAAAAACTTTTATTTTGTATATGAATTAAACATATAAACAATTACATTACATATATATGAAAGAAAAATAATTGATATTTTAAAATATAATTTAATTATTTACAGTACATATAAATACAAAATAAAATATCATTTTTTTTTCATTTAAGCATACCAATTAACAACTTTACAATTGATGAGAGAATTATCGGCGTATAATATTATACATTAAGAAAATATTTAAAATAAAATATGATTTTTAAATACAGTTTTGAATTTTTATACACAAATATATAGATCAGTTCACAACACATTCAATTAATTTTAAAAATTTACTTTATAATTCCCAATATCTTCCTATTCAACAGGTTGTTGCTATCAGGCTATTTTAAGTGAACAAGTTTCGAGACTTACACAATTGTTCGAAACTCTTAATATCCATTCATTTAAGTTTTTTACATTTTTTAAATAATAATTATGGTCTATTCATCGAATAAAGCCAATATAAGTAAACAGGAAGATACGCTATTCATATGATATTTGCTTCTCCATTTGTCCTAATTTTCTTGTTATTTTATACAAATAAATTAAAGTTAAGGGAAAAAGTGTTTAATAATTAGCATAAAATAAAATTTTTATCTGTACGAGAATTATCTTATTTGTTGTACAATGAAGATAAATAATAATTATCCTCATAAAAGTATTATTTTCACATAACTTGAGAGAAATAGAATTCATAATAATCGTTTAATTTCTTTAATTAGTGGTCAATTGTTAATATTTTAAATACTTTAAATATTTTTTAATTATTTTTTAATAATCTTTTAATTTAAAAAAAATGAGTGACTTCCGGTCAAATTATAAAAAAGTATATTTTATTAAAAATTTAAACTTGAATTTTTCTTTCATTGTGCAATTTTACAGTAATTTAATAACTATATTTAAAAGATATAATATTTTATTGTAAAACTACAAAAAATAAACCATTAATTCATTATGTAAAATTGACAGTAATTTTACAAAGAGAAATTAAATGAACTCACCCAATGATGGATAGAGGAAGCGAAAGCTAAAACTTATTTTGATATTTGTCAATTCTCTTTTAATAGTTTTGAAATTATTTTTTGTGTGTTTGTTCTCAGAAATACGTGCTGCTTACCTTGAGTTTATTTATATTATTATTATTAATTATTAATTAGCGAAATTAGTGTATCTTCTGTATACGCAACCGTATTCAGTTTGTTTAATAAATTACATCGCTTACATGACATTTGGCATATTGTACAGAAATATTTAGGAATATCTCGTATAATTCGAAATAATCAAAATACCATATATATGTATGCATAATTGTAATTTGATTTTGAACATTACGTTAAATATTTTAAATTTTCTAATAAATAAAATACATAAATAAAAACTCAGATAGAAAAATTTCATTTGGCTCGGGTAGAGCCGATTTCGTCTTTTCTTAAGAAAAATGGTGGTGGTATATTTACTTTAATTGATACTACTGTATATTAGCGATTCATTTCTCAGAAGACATCAAACAAATATTATTCAATATATAAATATATAGTTAAACAACTTTGAAAATATGCACCACAATTTTTATTTACATTAATATTCAAAGAGTCTTCTCTTTGAAATAATGAAAGCATGTTTCACTGTGTAAACATAATATACGCTCATTAACAAAAATGTTACGCACCCAGATACAATTGTTCGATTACAAAAAAACTCGGCATATCTCAGCTATATCTCAGACAGGTTTGTAAATTGTTACAGTTGTGGTCCAATTGCACGCTAGATAAAGCCATCAGATTGTCTTAAAATCGTTACATCAGTATCCAAAAAAGCCCCACGCACTCACTGTGTGTCAGAATTTTAAGTGTAATTACTATTTGGAGGTCTTTGAAACGTAGGCATACCTATAACACTCAGTCAAAAGACATTTCGCATAGCTGTCCGAGTTTTATAAAGGCCTCATCATCGGACTAAGGAAGCAGGATGGCAGTTTTGTCAAAGTGTCCGCCATCATGGTAGTTCTGACTTAACTGTAAGAAATGTGTTGGAACAGTGGATATTTCAGAAAACATACACGGCAGACAGGCTCTGTACGCTCCAAACAGATCACCAAAAAAACTGACCGTGCCATTATTGAGAGATAGCTGCAAGCCTCTCTACAAAATCCTGTCTTTTCGTATTCCATTGGTAGACGATTATCGCGGGCAAATTTGCATGCACTGTGACCCAAATTCCCTGTCATTAGAACTCCATCATATTCAGTTTAGTTTGTAGTGATTCCGTAACAAAGAAAAATAGACTGATAGCATATTGTCTTTAACAAGGAATTCTGGTTCTGTTTGGAAACGGATAATCACTATATTAGTGTGTGAAGGACCTAACATGCTGGGCTGAAAGCCGTTTCGTATGACACTCGGTCATTCCTAGTTAATGGTGCGAGGACATTGGTGGCACAGTAGTACTTTCGGAAAATTGCGCTCTCTTGTATTGTTTTTCATGTCATGGCTGCTAGCTGTCATTTTCTAGCAAGATGATACTTAGCCGCACACAGCTAGTGTTTCCTAGGAATGTCTCACTCACGTTGTCACATTTCCTTGACCTGTTTGGTCTCCAGATTTGTCGCCTATCGAGCATTTATGGAAGGCCAACTTTGCTCATGTGAAGGATCTGGAGAGACGAGACAGTTGAAACATCTGTGGCAAATCTGTTGCAGGATAGCATACGATGCTGTGTACGTCATACCGAACTGAATCGCTGCATATTCCACAGAAAATTATCCTTTTGCTATAAACTTGTAATCACTTATTACTGCCGTCATAACGTTCTCACTAATAAAGTTTCATTCCACTTTAACAACTTTGGTGCGTAACATTTTTATAAAATCAGCAGGTGTGTCTTATAAGTTAAATATAAAATCTGGCACTGAAGAGGTTTTTTTAGTTTTATTTTCCATATTCATAACTGATTTTGGAAACGGTAATCCGTATTCTAATGATCTACTTCGAAGAATTAATCCATCAGATATGTCATGAAAATCAGATTTTGGAATGTATTTTGATGGAAAATCAAAAATTTTAATATTATTTAGTTCTTTCATTGGCACTTTCGTATTTTTATTGTTTTTATTTCTAGAATTTATATGAAAGAAAAATTTGAATTTTCGAGTTGTTTCAGCTGGTAATGCAGTTTGCTGAACACTATCGCTACGTGACGTACTATCAGATGAAGTCGCATTGGCATTATCGCAACTGATGATAATATGATGATTACATCCCAACTTTTTATTTTTTGTACTGTTACAAGAAAAAGCTTCCACAGAAACATTACAACATGTAGATATTAAAATTCTTCTAAAACCACTTCTGAATCGCGTACTCATTACAGCATAAATGAATGGGTTAACACACGAATTTATGAATGCAAATAAATTAATGCAAAGCATAGTAAAAAAGAAATTTTCACGTTCGAAAAAATTTTCAGGTTGATATTGAGTAATAATTGAAACTAGAAAATAAGGAGTCCAAGATATGGTGAAAGCGATCACCACGATAATTACCATTTTGGCCACCTATAAAAATATTAAAATTAGATTATTTTATTATAGTTTTTATTGGAAAATCTTGAGTTTTATACCTTTCTTCGATACGCTTCTTGACGACGAAGACTACCTTGTCGATGAAAAGCAATCTCTTTAAGAAGGCATCTGGCAATTAGGTAACACGTTCCTCCGATGAATATTAAAGGAAGAAGGTAGATAAATATAAACAGGAATGTATAATAACCTTGACGAAATTTCGGTTCGAGTGTAATGAAACAAGTCAGTCTTGTGATAGTTCCGTAAGAACTGCTCAACTCATTTGAACCTGCCTCCGATGGATAAAGGAATGGACTCGCAACCACGCAAGGTATACACCAAACAATTAATAAAATATTTTTAGTTCTGGATTTGCTTTGCAATATGCGATGATGCAAAGGATGAACTATTGCAGAATATCTGAAAAAATAATATTTTAAAATATATACTGTAATAATTATATTTAATAAAGTAATTCAAAATAATAAAATAATATATGGCATGCTACTTTTATTATTGCAATAAAAAATTTACATAAAGAATTTTAGTACAGTACATATATCATATTAAATATATCCATTAATATCTTCAATTATAATTATGGAGGATGTATCCTAAGTTGTAATAACAATAACTCAAAATGTTTTTAAAAAATTAAATTAAAATAACGTATATATTATGGATGCTGTGTAATACAGATGTATGTAAAATCACTTCAATCCGTGTCGGTTGATTACCGCAACACCGAGCTAGTATTCTAAAAGTCTTGAATACTAGCTTGGTGTTGCAGTGGGAAAATCAACCGACACGGATTAAAGTGATTTTATATACAAAAAATAACGTATTTATTCGAAAAAACAGCACTCTTTAATACAGGGTGTCCCAAAAATATATGCTCACTCTTTGATTATTACTAATGTATTAAGTTTTGATTTGGGTGTTTATTGATATAGATACAATTCTAATAAGTTAAATTAAAACATTTTAATGGCATTTAGGTTCAAACTGGTTTCCATCATTTTCCAAACTGCTGATAACGCAGACCAATGGATTCGACAACATTGCCGAACATTTTATTTGAAATTACTGAGACATTGCCTTCTAATTTCTTCTTTTAACTTATCGATTGTCGCTGGATTTGCAGTGTTAAAAACATATAAGTACTAGCAGGTAGGCCCGGCGTTGCTCGGGCAAAAGTAACGATAGGAAAGATTAACATTATTACGTTATAGTCAACCTTACCCGTTTTCACAGAATGCAAGAATTGGGTCCCCCTGTTTTCGGACTGATTAGAGAATTTTTAGATGTGTCTAAAAATATGTTCGATTTCCCGCAAAAACGAAAAAACTGCATTCGCGTCTTGCACGTCGCTTTCTCTTAACAATTCCATTGTTACGTAACACTTCCATTGTTGACCCATTGTTACTTAACACTTCCATTGTTGATGGAAGTGTTAAGCCTTAATCCTGTCTTTCTCCCCCGGGGGGAATTTCGAAAAATCCCTTCTTAGTGTTCGTTTTCATGATGTACCCTATCTGTGTACCAAATTTCAACTTTCAACTCCTAACCGTTTGGGCTCTGCTCTTATTATTATTATTGTTATCAATCCGTCTCGATTATATATTAGATTGGACTGATAAAGAGATAAAGAGTGAGTACATTTTTTCGGACATCCTGTAGTAAGCGCTGTGTAATAAAAACCGCAGCTGCAACATGAAAAAGTTAAAAGGCTTTTCTATTCAAGAAAGATAAGGTTTATATTAAAACGAGAAAAAATTGTTGTGACGTCGGGCTGCAATTTTTAATCATATTTTTAATTTATACGCTCTCCACTTCATATTAGTAGTGTATTTCCTTGTACATCATACTTTCCTTGATAACAACGGGGTCGAATTCATCGATCATCAATGTAATTCTGTTCTGGGAAAAATTTTTGAATTGAAATCACGCGATTTTTGGTTTGAAACAGCTGTTCATATATAGTTACTTGGGGCCTCCTGCCCCTGCTTTCCATATTTGGTTTCGAATTTCATCTAATAACATCATTCTCAAGATTAAGGAAGGACAGACAGACGACGACAGTGGGAATTCATAGGTCTACAATTTTTTTTAAATTGCAGTCTAATGAAAACCTGTACATTCCATTCATTGTCGTCACTTCTAACGAAATATATTTAAAATCACGAAGATGGAAAGAGCAGAATCACTCGAATTTGAGGGGTTAGGACCCAATTCCATATTCGTAAATGATAATTGTAATGCTGTGAAATAATAATCGCGGGAAAAACTTGACAGTTTTGTTAGAATAAATTAGGTATAGAGTCCACTAATAAACAGCCTAGTCGCGAGATGTAAAATGGTATACACTGCTTATACTATAACGCTGTCTATTACAGGGTGTCTTATGTAAAATCGGCCCCTTTCACTGGAAACAATACAAATCAATTTAGACAAAGGACATTAGTTAAAAAGTTTATTTTAACATTATTTAAATGTACAGAAACTTACAGATGCTGAGTGTGGTATCTTTGTGCATCTCTGCACCTTTGTATACGCGTAATCACGTTTATACTGTCTTGATGTACAATACTGCTGACGATAGCTTTAATACTTCTGCGAATTCTTTTAGTTTGCGTATAGTTCTGGGATTGGCCTTATAAATTTCCCTTTCAAATATCCCCTATAAAATTTGCATTATTAATGTTTCATCATCTCAGTCAGGCCGATTTTAAGTGGGACACCCTGTGAAATAAATACGGTATGCATTTATTTTTAATTGATCAATTTAAAATGCTATTATATAATATTCAAAAAATTAAAATTTGTGACTATTCTAATTAAAAATTTCCTTTTTTAATTAAAATAGTTTTAAATGTTTCCATTTTGTATTGATTAATAAAAGTTACATAAGTTTCTTTCAAGGAAGCCACAAAAGTTTATGGCTGCATTAAAAGAAATTATCATGTTAATTTTATTCAATTTATAATTTTAAATAAATACTTTTAAAAACTTTTAAATACAGTATTAATTACATAAACAAATATACTAATTTTACAAATGTTATTAAATACTTACATAAGGTTTTAGATATTAATTAAACATTTTCTCTGGACAATTTAATAAAACGAATAATTAATTTCAAAATTACAGTAAATTAGTTGTAAAAATAAATAATTTATATAATGGAATTAATATTTTAGAAGATCAGTTTATATTTAGGTTAAATCTTTGTTAGCAGGATTTCTAAAAAAGGTAAGATTGTAAAAAGACATATTATTTTTTTATAACGTAATATATTAACGTTTACAATAAGTTATATAGAGTAACGCAATACAGTAGCCGAAGGAAAGACTGAATGTACACTTTATTTATGTATTTGTTGATGATACAGGAGATATCACGTAGACAATAAGTGTCGTCCTTACACAATCAAATAGATATCATTCAACTAATAAAATACATATTTAATTTTTTGATACTTTCCAAATGAGAGGAGTTAAACCCCATAATCTCTATGCGCAAGGCTTTGATTCCGATAAATTATAAATTATTATTATTGATATTACAGCATTATGAAATTATGTACAGTATATATAGCATGAGCCACCAGTCAGCCTAAACTGAAAGATTTTCTGTTAGATGAAAGATGTGAAAGAAGACGTGTGATTAACGTCTGAATAATGTTGAAATTAAAAGAAATAAAATTTATTTTAAAAAATAAAACATTAAAATAATTTTTGATAAGGATCGTATGACCTAAAGACTTTTTGAAAATGAAAAAACAAAGCAGCTAAAAGAGATCAGATTCGTGTATAAACTCCCGAAGGGGTAGCCATGTGTCTCCTTCCATCACTTTCATCTGACATAGACCCTTCTAGCTCAGGCTGATACGTGTATACTCTTTCACAGCGCAGTCTATAAAACAATGGAAGTATTTTAGAATAAAATTGAAATAAGAAACAATAAAGACTACTTCTTTAATGTAGTTGGAAAGTGCGAAGTAGTGGGAAGTTTTAAAATATTCAAAAACTTTTTAATACAGTACTTTTATTTTACTAATGTTAGTTGATAGTAGTAGTAAGAAAAATAAATAAGTTATGAATCGTTTAGTTTGCCCGAATAGCTGTACGTATCTAATGAACACATTAAGATCGACTTCTTATAATGATTTGAATTTTTCGTATTCTTTTAATGTTCAATATGACTTAACATAATCCTGCCAAATTTCAGAAATTTCAACAAAAAGCACAAAAAGCTTCAAACTGGATGAGCAAACTCTTGCTCCCCTAAACACATACACACTAACCTCCATACATACAGAAAAAAACCCGAATCGTTTTGCATTTCTCGACATTTCAAGGTCCCGATTCCAGAAATGTAAAAATCTTGGGTGGTTCATTTTTTACCGATCGTCATACTTTCCCTCTGTTATATGTTACAGCCGGAAAAGTAAAATGGAAAACATTAAGAAGTGTTTACGCAACAATGTTTTAATGCTTTCCATAGTATATGCCCCACGTCGGTTGTGTACAATATGTTCATCGTCGGATGGACAATTTTAGTCAACCAACAACGGCTAAAGTTGGTCCAATATTGAATCGAACCAAGAAGTCAAATTGATCAGTTGTAATTCAATTGTTGACTGATGGTCGACACAATACAAAGTTAACTATTAAAGTACTATTATTACTTATTTTAGAGTTCCGTTTTTTTAAATTCGATCGAGGATCCGTACCTGAAAACCGTTATTAACATCACTGTCGACACTACCAATTTTCGTTACCGATCTTTCACTACTGTTCATTGACAACGTGGTGAGTAGATCTCCTTGTTCGTGGGATCTTACTCGTATATTGACTGAAATTGTTAGCTTAACGTTGGCATTGATCGCAGTGCCCATTGTTGTTATCTAAAATCGGACCAATTTTCTATTCAATTGCTGGGCTAGCGTTATATCCCAATTATAAATCGATGTTGACTGGATAATCGATTAGCAGCGTTGGACGTATTTTCGATCTCGGACCGATGTAAATTCGATTGTAAATGTCTACGTGAATAGTTGAATAGTTTATTAAAATTTTTATTCTTAATATTTACGTTCTCAAAATAACTTTTATAAGAAGTAAATATTACAAACTTTTAATTAAGATAAGTGTATTTATGCAGTTTAAATATTCAAATCAGTTTTCTGATATGTAAATTAAGTCTTACTCTTTATTAATTCTACATAGTAACGCTTCATATAAACGGGATAAAGGAAAAAAGAGACTTGTTTCTTATCTAAATAGCTTGTAAACTTATTTAAGACTTTTATAAAATAGATAAGGTCGAATGGAAATTTAATTAATTCAACAAATAGAAGATTTAAGCGAGTCACTCTAGAACCATTCAAAAATAAATCAAAATTACGAAAACAATTT